CATGCTGTTCAACCGCTTCCTGGTGCTGAAGATGTAGTTGCAACTGAGCGTGCAACAGCATTGTGTGGAGCTTGTGATTTAACAGCAAAGCTTTTATATATTTTGCCACATGCCGATCACTTATTAGGATATATATCTAGGTTTATAATTGTGTAATTTTTTATTTTTTCATTTTTCTATTTTTGAAAGAAATAATAGTTTTGTTTACTGTAGGTTAGAGACGGCATTCTATGATTTGGCACAAAATTTTTATCATCACGAATATCGAAATGTTAAAAGTCATCGTGATCAACTCACTAAAAATGTTCATCAATATTTATTTGTTCGACATCAATTTAAAATGGCATTCTTGAATGAACTCAAGCAGGAGCTGCATCTTGCTCAAAAGTAAGATTAAAAATATGAATATTACAATATTAGAATATATATATATATATATATATGTATGTATGTATGTATGTATGTATGTATACATACATACATATATATATGTATATTCTATGTGTGTGTATGTATGAATGTTGCAGGCATTATATGCAAGCTTATCACAATCTCCTAGAAACAAGAATGACAGATGCAAACGCAGTAGAGATAAAAACTGTTGCTGGTTTTATAAATTATAAGTTGTGCAGAATAATGTTTAGTTTAAATCTTCCTAAAGATGCCATTTCTCAATTTAGACTTCACACAGAAAGGTATAAACATTTAGTGCAATGATTTACACAAATTTTAAACTTCAACAGTAATGATTGATTAATTTTTATTATTAGATTTAAACTAAAAACTGGTCCAAAGGAACTCATGTTTGAACACCATACTTGGATGAGTAGCCAGTTTTCTACATTTGCAGAATTATTTGATGAGGCTATTCGTCAAGGATTACCTGCTGTACAAACGCAACATCCAGGGTATTATTTCCAATTAGCTGCTAATCACGCAAGCTTACGACAATCTGCATGTAAAGAACTCTGCCAGGTATGTACGAAAATCTTAGTTTTTTAACAAATACATTACTTTTTCTGATTATATTATAACTGATTATATTACTTGAATTTCAATACTTTGTTAGCATATAAGCAGTTATCCAGATCCAGATCCATTACTAGGTGAAGAGAAACTCGAATTTTATGGTCAACGGCCGTGGAGACCTGGGAAATTGAGCGCAGAACCAGCAGACACAGCTCGAGAAGCTATCGGCATACAAGCTTTACAATACAGAGAAAAGACTACTGTTAATCATTCTGTAGGATAATTACGTATATATCTGTATACTTTTAAATCAATATATAATAAATAAATTATTGTAAAATATTTACATTCCTTTTCAGATGATAATTATTGGTTTACTAGGAAACGCGATATCACAATTCAAGATATATCGTTGTCCAAGAATGCGGCGATTATTAGGTAGATAATTTGTCTTTGGAAATATAGAGATAAAAATTACTTTTAACGTTCATAATATAAAAATTATATAATATATAACAATTAAATTTTCTTTTCTTTTTTTTAGTCGTACAAATGGCAGAAGAATACTATAATGCTCGGGATTATGGCAAAGTTCTTACGTAAGTTAATTAATTTTTTCTCTCTGCTTATGATAAAAGCCTTCAGTAAAAAAATCTTTATCCTTCAATGGCAAAATCATTGTTGTCATTTGGTTCTTTCCTTATTTTCTTTAGACTAACTTTATATGTTAATAAAAATTGTAAAATTTATTTAAATTGATCAGATTATTAATGCACATGTTGTGGGAATATCATGGAGAACGATGGCCAGTTTTACTCACTGATATCTTAAAGAATGCGCTGCGGGCTGCATATTTATCGACCAGTATTCAAGACTATCTCACTTTGGCTCTCGAAGCTTTAGGACCTTCAACTACATTCTCAGAGGAACGGCAAGCTGTTATTTATAACAATATTATAAATATATTACAGGTTAGTTCAATAAGGCGTTTATTTGTTTCGCTATACTATATAATGATTATTGTATAAATAAATAATATTGTATAAGAAAGTTTATTATTTATTTAATACAAAAATTAACAAAAAAAACGGCTTGACATTTGGTATTAGAAAAAACCACCTAATCCAGAACCAGATTTGCCAGATGATATTAAGCATCTTGCCATGGAGAAGTGGATATTGGAATTAAATCGTCCGGAGCCAAGTATTTTTGCAATTGATGATAATAATATGACATCATTTATTGATCTTAAAGCACGATTTTTGCAGCAAACATATGCAGTGAATACAATGATAACAGTGGAAGTTATTGTAAGGTATTTAAATTTATCTTTTTTGTCTCTCTCTCTCTCTCTCTCTCTCTCTCTCTCTCTATATATATATATATATATATATATATATTATATACATTAAAAAATTACTAAATATAATTTTATATTTAACTTTGCAGGAATTCTTACTTTAGCATCATTGAGTTTTTTAATGCATCTATAACAGTTAGTGGACCAGGTTACAATGCTGAAATACCAATTGATGAAATTAAAAAATCAGATCTTATTTTTCAAGCAAAGGAAACGAAAAAACTTTACTTCAACTTTAAAGCTCCTCGTCAAAATGATGGTGTAGAAATTCGTATTAGTACAGTTTCTTTACAAATGGGTGATAGCGAACATTGTTGTATTATGTTAAGATTCTCAGCTATGGGTAGAGAAACGAATTTGTTGGATCGTTTGTATCCTGAAATACAACAACTTCGGTATATTTATAGAGTTTTTAAATTCCGTTTTTAGTATTTATTAGTCATTTGACAAAAAAATTAATAAAAATATAATTTTTATTCGTAACAGTGGAGGAGAGTTTGAAGCAATAAGACCGTTAATTCACGCAGAAATTAAACAAGAAGAATCAAGTTTAAGTTTAGATGCAAAATCCAACAATCCTGCGCTTTTAGGCGAGTGGCTACCCATCACGATATCCTTATCAGCTAATGAGAATGTTAATGCAGTCTATTTATATATAATACTTTTATCAGATGGTAGCAATGAGCAATCAAGTATGTTTTCACGTTTTTAGTATTTTATTTTCTTTTATTTTCTTATAAATGATTTTTTTTTTCTAATCTTATACACTATATTCTTTTTTTTTTTTATTAACTAAGCTGTTCTTATATAATGTATTTCAGCTGAATTAAGTATTAATATGCTTAGTAAAGAGTCTAAAGTATCTATTGTTGTTGGTGATATGGTAAAAGGCACTTTAGCTAAACATATTGTGCATATTAGAGCACATAAAGTAGGCGATAGAAATATCGTAATAAAGGTATTTATACATAATTATTTTAATAAATTATATCAAACGATTTTGTGTGTGTGTGTTTAATATTGTCATTTATTATTATTATATGTAACAGGCAGACTATACTAGACCCGAACAAATTAGGGGAAATAAAGAATTAACATATTCGTTGGCGGTTAAGAAACCGTTTGAAGTTGCAACACAATTTTATACTACACTGTTCGAACCACTAACAAAAGGTTTTGTTAACGAACCCTTTATCATCATGCCTCATATTACCTGTGTTTCTCCGTGGCCTATAAACATTCTAAATACATCTATAGAATTGGTAAGTCTCCACAGAGTATCTATATTGGAATGTTTGGAAAATCTGTATGCCGATAATTTTTAAGCAAAACTAAAATTAAAATTATTTAAACTAAAACTTTTTTTTAGTTAAAAGTAATTTGTAATATTATATATCATTTGGTTTCACAATATTTTTCCATCTTCCGGCTAATTTTATGACTTCTTTCTCGTAAAAGTCTTGAATTTTAAACATCACCTGAGAAATTTGCATAGATTTTTCGAACAATTCAAAATATAATTTAATTATCTGTATAAGTTTATGTCAGGGAAATTAGAATTTTATGATAAACTTAAGCTCGAAATTAGGCAGATTCCATTCAAAAAGAGAGCAATCTTGACAATCAGGAGTCCATTTTAGCGGGTGTTAAACTCTGTGATGGTGAGACAGGGACTGATGCCTATTGCCTGATTCCAAAGATAGGTGGCGAGTTGCCAATTAGTATTGGAGTATACACTATCAAGTGGAAAAGGTAAAGATTGATAAAGATTATGACATAATGCGGTCTGTAATCTTCGTTATTTTCAGAGTAAATGACGAAACCGCGTTAGAAACTAGTAGTAGCGTAACTTTAGCTCCTTTATGGGTCGAAGATGTAGTAATTGGATTGGAAGCCAAAATGCCAGCCCACGGATGGGTTCGCACGCCGTTTTGTATATCATATTTCATAAAAAATCATTCTGATTATCTTGTCACTTTGCGCTTAGCTATGGAAGGCAGTGATGCATTCATGTTTGCTGGTCAAAAACAAGTACGTTTCATGCTTACATTCCACATGATGTATACAATGATCTTATTAATATCTCTTTTCAGATTGATATTTACATACTGCCTAAAAATATTCGAAGAGTTGATTGGGTTTTACGACCGCTAGTAGCTGGTTTTGTGGCTCTTCCAACATTATCGCTAACTGTACCTGCAGGTAATAATATCTACTATATAGAGCAATTTAAAAAAAAATTATATAATATTTATATTTGACACATCAAAATTATAATATATCTGTAATATATCTTTAATATACAGATGAGGAACACAAAGTGGGTAAAGGACGATTATCAGAGATGATTGAACGTTCGTTGCCGAGTCATATATATATACTGGTAAGAAAAAAATTACATACCAATAAAATAGTTTAATAATGCTTTTGTAATATATATATTTATATATATTTTTTTTTTACAGCCGAAATCACAGTCTTTAGGAGAATAAATATTTGACATTAGGATCTCTTGTTTTTAAGAAAAAAAAAATATCTTCCCTTAAATAAAATATATTATAATAAATTTTGCATAGACTAATATGTATGTGTATCATATTTATTAAAGTCATAAATATAAATTTTTCTTGGATATAATTTATTTAAAGTATTTTATTATTGTATTCTAAAATTAAACATTCCAAGATTATTATGAGTATATAATATTGTGTAAATTTTTAACAGACACTCATTACATGATAGCAATCACATTACTATGCACTATAGTTAACAATAGTTCATACACAGACATCGATCGTTTTTAGATGTATCGAAGAACATTGCATTATGCCAGTAATGCGTTACCGTGGAAACCAGTGAATATCGGAACGCACCCCTAGACTCTAGTATTAGTAAACATACATTTTTCTTCTTTTTCTGTACCTCAAAATAATTTAAGTCAATTCTAAAAACATTAATTGTTATCGACAATTGTACTCGCATATAGTGGATCGCAATGATTTTATGAAATGGCAAGGAGCAGCAATATTGATATTGCAAGTGTTTTTGATGAATACCTGCTAAAAGAACAGCAATTTGAACGAGAAATAGAAGAATGGTACATTTACAATGAAATTTATTATTCGCTAATATTATTTACTAATGATACATGCATGTATATAACATTTTCCTGATCAACAAAAAAAATTATTTTTCATTTTATTTCGCAGCAATAAATTACGTCGCGAGATTCGCAACAGGAATATTTTCAAAGTTTCTGACTCATCGTCAACAAATCTGCCTTTAAATTTGGAAAAATCTCGTATTCGCAATCAGGCTCTTCTGAAGGTTTGCTATAGCACATTTTTTGGATTAAATGATATGAAAAAAATTCAGTGTACTTATAGAATAAAACCAAAATAAAAGCAAAATTCAGTGTATATGGAATATAGAACGTGCAAACTTTCTATGTTAGACAAGCTGCTTATTTTGAAGTAATTTTACTGATAAGATCACATGTTACTCAATGTTATCCATCGTTTTGTTACAATTTTTACAATTGGAAGGAAGTTTGTCATAAAGTCATTTTAATCTATGTTCAGAATAGAATTCTAGTTACAATTTTATATGTTACATATAACACAAAAAACAGTCAGAATATACATATGTATATTAAAATACCTAATACATAAAATTGTTTAAAATTATAAATACATTCTATTTTGAAAAATTTGACATGAATTATAAATTGTCTAAAATGAATTGGATTTAATATTTTTTATTATAGACTATCATAACAATTTTTTAATTTAAAGAATTGATATTGCAAAATATGGTGAAATATTTATTTTTAAAATGAACAGCAAAAAATGTGTTTTTTCCCATGATTGAAAAAAAAAACATCTTTCCGTCGAATATGACCAACCCTATATATATATATTGTATAAAGTGTGTGTGCGTGGGCGCGCGCGCGCGCGCGTGTGTGTGTGTGTGTGTGTGTGTGTGTGTGTGTGTGTGTGTGTGTGTGTGATGCACAGATTTTATCTTTTATATATTATATTATTATGACAGGATTTGGAGATGTCTAGAGCACGTTTGAGAACTTACGCTTCTTACACGCCTACAGATGCAGAATTGCAGCAGATTTCGTTGGCTTATCGAAGTCATCTTCGCAAAAATATCCAAGATACGAAATCATGACAAGCTCATTTCCATGTAATCAATTAGGTACTCGTCAGTGATCATTTCAACCTGATAACTCGAGCCGAACGAACAAACTTTGAAATGAAAAGTTTGTTGATCGTTGGGATCGATGGATCGGGTTGATTATTGCGTGATCTATTTTATGACGTGGCTGCTTCTTCGTATGTTGAACGACGTGAGAACTGATTCGTAAAATGTGTGGAATAAACACAATATTTTTTTGTGCACTTTTTGTAGTTGTTTCACAATCAGGCTCGAGTTATTATTCCAACAATAACTACTATTTTTTGTAAAGTAAAATAAAGCAGATTAATAACAGGCTGTTATATATCTTACGTATCATACTTGAATCTATATTACTGTCGCTCATAAAATAATCATTACACAAGGTAACATATTACATTGTAACTCAAACAGCGTCAGCGTGTATTATATTGCAAATAAATATACTCACGGTTGACTCTTTACTTTCCGACGAAATATGAGCAGACTGAAATCTAACGAAACTAATTTGCATTTTAATCTATGTTCAAAGGTCTCGAAAGACTTAATTATAAAGGCAAACGCGTTACTTTTTGAAGACAATCGCGTGGCGATTATTCGAGCTTACCGTTTGATAGGACAACTGCTTGATAGATCTTCTTATCCAGCGTTATTCAGGAGCTTGTTGAATTGTGGAAGAATGTAAGTAGGGTGCATGGACAAGTGGCGAACGATGTCCACCTGCGCGCTCAGGCATGCTATATTCATATTTATTTTCTATGTACGGCGGTATTATCGCTGATAATTACCGGCGTGCACAACGTACATACACGATAGGACGGCCACGTACCCAGAAATTTCCCGATAAGAAGTTCTGGTCAATAATTTGTTAGAAGAACTCGCGTTTATTTTAAACTGTTGCTTTTTACACACAACTCGCAAACGCGAATCCCAACATTTCGCGTCGACTATTTATTTCACAGACGTGACTTTTCAACGTTGAATTTGCCGGCAGATTAGATTTACGGTTTTATCGTCGGCCTCGTACACGAAATGGCATTTCAAACTTCAGAAATGCGCAATTTATACAAATTATCATACAAGTCGCGCGTCCTTGTTCGTAACTTCACTTACCTTTCGTACCTTCGGAAAATACTTGAAAAACATGTTAATTGCGAGCAACGTGTAAACGGTCTATACGTCGCAGAAAATTTAAAAAGACTGGAGGGCATCACGAAACGTAATGGATGCGTTTTTGGAGTTTAATTTTATATTTCTACGTGACATATGTAGCAGCTGAGTAAATGGAATAATGCTGTGACTTCTTACTTTGACTATTATGATGTTCGCAACAGCTGTGTCAATAGCCTTATTATCTTGATATATAGTTTGCAAAAACATTCTCTAGGGACGTGCCCATAAATTAACGTTTTAATTAATTTAAATTGATTTTTTCGAAGTTGAGATAAAATAAAAATTGGCACATTTCTTCGAAAAAAAAAATATATATATATGTATATATACAACGTTTGGCTGAAGAGAACTTGAACTTGAGTATAGGTTGAAATTAATGCCGTTCGCTCTGTTCTTGATTGTGAATATAGTGAATGCACCTGTATTACCTGTATTACATTTGAAAGATTATCAGGAACATCTGCAATATCTGCACTTGTCGACTCACGCCCTTACTTGGATTTTTTGAAATCATTACATTATTTCTACGACTTTGCGAAGCCACAAAAATGTATGGCTCATTTTATGAATTTATCTATCTAGAGCGCGTGTCATGGATTATGCCTTTAAGCTATTGAAAGACATTTTATGGGATTGATATAGAATATCGCATTTTCTTATGTTTATTTGTTTGATTGTATCTACGAGTTCAAACCGATGCGACTCCGTTGTATTTAATTACTTGACTACCAGATATTAACGTATTATTATCGTCGTTAGTGTTCATTGGATGATAAACGCGTAATGTTTGCTGTCCTTGGTAGACAAGAAATTTCGAGAAAAGGATCAATTTTTTTAGTTGATTTTCTTTCTTGTAGTAATAAATAAAAAAAATACAAGCTTTGTGTTACAAGTAAAACAAAAACTTGAAAAAAGTAACACCTGCTTAACTTATATCACATTTCGTTATACTATAATAAAATCTTGTTTTTTTTATATTTTAATAATTTAATGAAAATTAAATATTAAAATACTATATTTCTACCACAGAGAATTAAAGTAGATGCGGAGAGTTAGAGATATTAATTAATTTTTTTTAATTAATATCAAATAAGAATGTAAGGATAATTGTGACTAGTGTAAAGTGATTTTATTCTAATGCATTGATAGTTATATACAAGGTGGGTCATTTTAATCGATTTACTAGAATATCTCAAAACCTTTAAGTTTAAGACAAGAATGTTTTTTAAACAAAAGTTGCACAGTTGCATTAGATACTAGAGAGAAAAAGATGGTGATCTTGATTGACCCTTGAGAAGAGTGTATTTAAGAACAAATCAAGGTTATTTAATTTTTTTTTAATTGAAACTATTTTTTTAATTTTGATTTCATATTTATATAGCTTCAAAATATTATAATAAAATATTTTTTTCATTAAGTAATTTACAAGTTATGAGGCTTGAAAGTTAGCAGAGCAACGCTTAGTCAACTCATTATCTTCAAGCAATTAAGTTTGAGATAAAGAAAAGATGATCTTAGTTGATATATTTTCAAGGTTATTTTTTCTACATCTTAAACTTAATTGCTTTAAGATAACGGATTGACTTAACCTATTAACTTTCAAGCTCCATAACTTAAAATAACGTAAAATACTTAATGAAAAAAAATACTTCATTAATATTAATATAATGAACAAAACAATAATATAAAACAATAATATTTGAAAAAGTTTAAAAGTTACATAAATATAAAATGAGTGCGAGCGTGGCATGGCAGACAGCGTACTGGTCCATCATGCCAGAGATCCCGGATTCGATCCCAATAGGAACCAAAATATTTACGCTCATGTCTCCTCTCCCATCCTTGCCCACAGAAACAAAAAAAAATTGTTCTCAAAAAATCCGCTGTTCCGAATCGGCATTAAAACTGTAGGTATGCTTGTGACAATTGAATCAACGTGCGCATATGAGAGGTGTAACACAGGCCTAATGTAAGAAGAAGACGAATATAAAATACAAAATGGGAGTTTTAATTTAAAAAATTTTAGATAATCTTTGACCTGACATCTTCTCAAAGTTATTATCATCTTTCCTCTTAATAATTGAGTAACTTTTGTTCAAAACATTTTTTTTTTAATTTAAAAATTTTGAGACATTTTAGTTGATTGATTAAAATGGACCACTCTGTATATGTGTATAAACTACTATAAGTATATCAAAAGATAGTATAAAGAAAGAAAGTATATTAAATTAGAGACCAACTTTAAATAATTTATTAACTCCCACATAAAAACAATACTAGATGTTTGACAGAAATTGTAATTTGACATTTCATTGTAATTTAGTACAATAATCACGCAACATATTTTATAATATATTTAATCTATACACATCTCTTGATTGTTGCTTATCACAGCACTTTTATATATAATTTATTTTTTAATTAAAACTGTTTAAAATTTAATAAAATTACATATGTATATATATGTGTAGATGCAAACATATATATGTCCCACGTGTCAAATATAAATATTATAATATAATTTTCTGTTAATCTGTACATTTCAGATAAAGAATTTTATGTACTCACTTTTCACAAAATTATTTTAAGTAACTAAATTCATTAATATGTATAACTAAATAATATTATTATTAAATTTGTAAAAAATTCTTGATTATAGGCGCAATTTTTTCAGGTTCATTCAAATGTACGTGATGCGTGCCTGTCACCTCATGATACTCAAATTTCTTAGCTCCTACTTTTATGATGTCCAATATTTTCTGATAATTTTCAGGATTTTCAAATTTCATTCCAGGAATAGCACGAATGTTGAGGTAAGCACATTTTATCTGAGTTGCGTATTCAACTACTAAATCTAAAGATAATAATCCTAAAAGGGAAACCTAAAAAAAAAAATAAATAATAAATTTTAATTAACATTATCACACTTCTTTAAATCATAAAACCTACAATATTAACTCTTGTCATCATAAAATATATTGCATAATTATATAAATTCTTTTACCTTCAATCTTGGATCACGAGAAAAATAATATTTGTCTTTTTTATGCGCTGGCTGCATACCACGTTTCATTAATATTTCTGCTCCTTCCTTTGTTATAGAACCATCATATGCTTTTTCTACTATATTAAGCATTTCGCCATATTCATAAGATGGTGCATTGTCCAATGTTAATAATTCATATTTCAAAAATTTGTCAATATATTCTCCGGTGATTGTAGCTGTTTTCTTGACATCCCTTACGCTCGGGCTAGCAATGTCCAAACTTATAAGAAAATCAACTTCATCTGGATATGATGCTGCATACAGAAATGATATAGCACCACCCAATGAGTGCCCAAGAAGTTTGACCTATTTCCATAATAGAATGAAAGTTATAACAAATTTATATTAATTTAGTAGATATATAGCATACATACATATATAGTATACATTAATGTTACACAATATCGTATATATATTTCTTATATATTAGAGTTAGTTGTTATATATTAGGTGCGCAACTAAGTTCTCGCTGTTATTTTGATGAAAATGCCATCAAAATAACAGCGAGAACTTAGTTGCGCACCTAATACATAAATATTTAAAATAATGCTGGTGATGTATGTTAAAATATTCACACATACAAAAAAACTTCATCATGCAGTATGTTTGAGTGAAATATAAATGCAATTTAATGCAAGCAAGGATGACTGTTAGATATGTGTGAGAATATATAAGCATCATACTGGAAAAAATGTTTATATTGATCTCAATTGTAAATCCATTTTATCCACTCGCTAACCTTGTTCCATTTGAAATATTTAATAATTTTACGAAGGAATATGACACCATCCCAATACACATAATAGAATTGACTCTTTGGGTAATGTGAAGATAAACCGTGCCCAGGCATATCCAAACAAAGAACAGAAACATCATTTGACAGCAATGGCATTAATGTATCAAAAGTGCCTGAATTATCTTGGCGACCGTGTAGTGCCAGTATTGGTTGGAGCTCACTAGGACCCCACCATTTGCCTGCAGGTAAGAGTTCTACAATTATTTTTTTATTTTATTTTATTTTCTCCAAATTATGACATTTCAATAGAACACAGATCTTGCTGTTCAAACTTGTAGCAATTTGTTAAATGAGAAGAGAAACTGATGAAAAGAGAGAGCTAATAAACTTGTAGCAATTTGTTAAATTGAGAAGAGAAAAATCCTATATATTTTTTTAAATGCAACAAAGTTACAGCTGAGTTAAAAAGCTTTTTTGTCTATTACTTGAGAATACAATGTAATATGCAGTTATACAACGATAATTTTGAATAATGTTTAGTGTTTTTTAACATTATTAGCATTAAGAGCATTAGCTATTGTTAGCATTAAGAGTTTTAATATTTGTTTTATATATTATACATACATAACAGTCAGCCTTTTTAAATATTTTTTTTTATTAATTATATGATCAGGTGCAAGCAATATGAATATTAAATAATGAAAGTAATAGCATTATACCTCCATGTTGAATGTAACATATAAATACTATTGCAAAATATGCAAATATTCTAAATTAAAAATACGCAAATTAAGTAATTGGTAATGATACATAATATAAACAGATCACATATTCTTGAAGTTATGCTGTAATTGCATTTAACTTCTGCAAAATAAAGCATATAAAATCCATGCTCTTGTTTATTCCATGTTACTGTTATATTTATAATTTATAAAAGAAAAAGATTTTTAAATCGTTGTATAACATTGACTCGCTAGCTAACCTTGTTCCACTTGTAATATTTAACAATTCTACGTAGCGTAAGAACCCCATCCCAAAATATATAGTAGAACTGTCCGAATGGTAGATGAGAAGAAATGCCATGACCAGGCAGATCTATGCTCAGTATAGCTACGTTTGACAATAATTGTGCCAACTTGTCAAAAGTTCCTGAATTGTCCTGCCAGCCATGTATTGCCACTATAGGCTGCTTATCTGTCGGTCCCCACCATTTTCCTAAATTTATCAATATGTTGAATTTAATGTGTCATTTGTTGAGAGCAATATGTCTTTAATTGCAGTTTAATCTAAGTATGTATTTATATCTTTAGATGATTATATGTGTGTGTGTGTGTGTGTGTGTGTGTGTGTGTGTGTGTGTGTGTGTGTGTGTGTGTGTTTGACAATCATACACATGACATTCGAAAAAGTTTGTTGATATTTATTGTTAGAGTGCTGAAAATTTATAACATATATTTCATACCAAAAATCTGTACTATCTATAATATACATACGTTATAGATTTTCAACATTTATAATGAATATCAAAACATAAGCTTCATATAAAGAATAAAATGATTTTAATATAATTTTATAATATAATATTTACAATGTAGGATACAAATTAGGGAAGACATCAAACTATACTGACCTCTGATATGTCCCCATGGCATCGGTATTTCTATTTCCTTGACATCTATATAAAATAATATCTAATCATTGCAAAAAAATACTTTTAAATATGTGCATTAAAAAATTAACCTTCTTTCTTGTATCCATTCGTAGCACTTTCGTCCGAATTTTTTTTCTCCTTGGTAGCCATGTTAACAGCTGATGTTCGTTTGAGGTTCTTGAAAAATCCGCGGATCCCAAGTGTTTCGTTAGTAAAGCTGCAAAGGAAAATCGTCGATCATCATCCGGATGAAAGAGCTCACAAGCATAAATTTTGAGAAAGATGAATTTTTCAGCGAGCATATGAGAGATCCATCGTCGAGTGTCAGAAAACTCATATATTTTATGTATTTCAAGGTATTGAACCCGTAATTGCTGTGAATCCGTCTTCGAGAGAGAAAGAAAGAGAGAGAGAGAGAGAGAGAGAGAGAGAGAGAGAGAGAGAAACGTCAGAGAACGTTGTCCTCATCGTCACCTGTTTCTCTTCAAGCGCGACGATTTCGTAATCATTACTTCTTAAATATCACTATACTGATAACTAGCATTTATTCAAGAATTCAATAAAAAAAAAATTATTCGTGTTGGTTTTCGAGTATAATATCGATGATATAATCGTCGGCATTTGCTCAAAAATTGTATTGAGAAAAAACTTACGCGATTAAGTATCTTTATATGAATGTATAACTGAACGTAACTCTTGTAGTTGTGCGTGACGTTAGATAGACGCCAGATAGGAACAAACCAATCACGCATTTAATGTTAGAAGATGACTAGCACGATGACATGACTGTGATTCTACGTTCAGACGCGCGATTGGTTAGCTCCTTTGTGTGTACATATACATACTCGGACAATGTACTTTTAAATCGATTCACATCCGCATTTCAAGAGACCGATAATGCAAAAAGAAAAGTAAAGCGTGTAAAGGAAAAAGAAAGAGATGAGGTGAGAACAATCACGTATAAATGATCGTAAAGAAATGTGATATCAGCTATGTACTAACCTGTAACATAATCGAAGTCTCATCTCTATATTAAACATGATTTTATATCATGTGCTATAAAATAAGCTAGTTATTACGGCACACCTTTCCTTCTCATTCTTTTCTCACCAAACAGACTATTTTATACTTAAACGATAACTCGTTTTTATAATTTATTTTAATTAACACGTTTTTATGACAATAAGTTTTTATAATAATAAACGTTACATAAATATATCCCTGGTGAAAAAATAAGTCCTTGAAGTCGTTGAAATCAATTATGAAATCATGAAAATAAGAAATGAAAATGAAAAATATAAATAAAATATATATGCATTGTTAAACATGTGTTACTACCAGAATTGCAGCAACTGAGTCCTCATTTATTGGCAATTTAATGCTTTCACGATATGATAATTTTTAGATATCAAAAGGTGCTTTCCAACAAGGAAACAATCAAACAATGTAAGTAGTAAATCATTACATCCTTGTTGTGTTTGCCTACGTTAAACAAGGATGATATAACTCACTTTGTTACACGGTGTTCTTGCTGGAAAGCACCTTTTGGTAGCAACTTGCCAAGAGTTCGCTAACTTTAAAATCATCAAAATTCATACTATTGTTATCATGTTGCCATAATTAATGCAACATCATACAATGCTATTATACTATTACCGACAACACAAGGTAACCGACAAATTGCATTATAAGCAATCACAATTTGTGTGATTTTGTTACGCTTTGTTATCTGGGATTATATAATAATAAGTAGTATAAATAATGCTTTTAATATTAAAATACTATGTGTGGATTTTAGAGATAATTAATAAAAATTAATGAAAAGTAATGAAAAATGATGAAAATAATACAAATATATTTATTATTTTTATAAGTTTATTCAGGTAATAAATATTATAAAGATTATAAAGATAATTTTAAAAAATACGTGAAAAATGTAAAGTAATAAAAAAGTTTATATAAGCAAAACTTTATATAACTGATAAATAAATATATGCGATAAAAGAAATACACACACACACACACAAGTAAATAAATAACTATACATATATTTCCTTATTAACAGTATTTTATGACTTGAGCAGCAATTATAAAATTTTAAAAAGAGTATTTATAAAGATATGATCATTCTTATTATTGCTATGCTATCTGAGATTGTAATACATCAGAAAACTATTCTTAGTTGCGAATTGAGGATTAGAATTCGACTAATTAGAAGGAAACGGATTGAAATTAAAATTACCTGATTAAATTGGTCCAATTCTAATCTTTAATTCGTCCAATCCTCAATCTCCAATCTACATATTAGGCCGGAATCAGACTATGCATTGAAGATTGAGATTAAAGATTAAAGATTGAAATTTCATCAATGAGGACAAAGAAATTTTGGCTCCTCTTGTTCTGATTGGTCAAACTTCGATCTTTTAATTTTCAATCTTTCTTCAATACATAGTCTGATTCCGGCCTTAAGTATGACATGGGCATTACGGTATTCTATTGCGCATAATAAGCCTGGATCTATACATAAATAAATTTTTAAGCCTTAAGCCAGAAGAATGAACGAATCATAATCGATTATTCTCCTCGCACTGTGAGGAGCTCCGCACAATAAAAGGAACAGAGAACAGAGAATAAAAATTTCAATCTTTTAGAAATGTATTCTTATTTTCTGTTCTCTATTCTTTTTATTGTGCGGAGCCCTTAATTAGTTAATTTCTTACTGTATATCCCGACTAATAGTGACAGACTACATCAAAACAACCAATCAAATGTTTGCTCCAAAGTTAGTGGATTGCTCACAGCAATCAGGTTCCTTCTTATAAATTGAGGCAACGTTTTGATTAATTAAAGAGCAGCCGTCATGTTCAAAACGATTGTGCATTCTTGGGAATGGAATACCTTAATATTCTTGTAACTGTTTTAATTCTTTACAGAAACGTGAAAAAAATAAAAGTTTAATGTCCGTTTTTACCAAGATAGATTAATTTTGATCTCGGTTAAACTTGTTCTTTATCTTTTTCTAATTCTTAGGATTAGAAAGGAATGAAGAGCAAATTGAACCAAGATTAAAATTAAACTACAATAGTAAAAATGGGCATACAAATATTGGATCATCTAAAAAGTATCCGCAGTTTTTTGTTCTAGATGTGTGTTGATAGTCATATATCTAGTGACAAAGTATCGCGGATACTTTTTAGATGGCCCAATATTAATATAAATCATGATGTAATTCTGTTGTCAATTCAGTGTGATTTATAAAAAAGTTCACAGGAATTCAGAACGAGTATTTAATTAGAAAATAAAAGGCAAAAAATTCCGCATGCATAAGTACATAATCGAATGCATTCAAAAAAGTTTCACTCAAATGTCAAAGGTGAATTGCAAAGGAATAAATTTCGATTGTTCGCTAGGTAAGGATATCTGCCATGAGATTGTAGGTTTGTTCGCGTCGCATATTCTAATACTTCTACATGCTCTAAATTGCTCTTATCATAGTATTTACTCTAACGCGCTCGTTGAAGTAAGTAGAAGTTATAGCAGAAAACATATTGGAGAATGCTGGAGCATACGAACAAACCTTGTATGTCAAATCTGATGACAGTTTGTATGTAAAGCCAGCACCACACGATGCTTGATTTCTTGCTGGATTGCTAGCTAGATTAGAATCTTGCCACCGTATTAGCTGCAATGGTGTCAGTGCCAGCATTACAGTCAATACGGTGGTAAAATTCTAACTCAGCTAACAATCCTGCAGGAAAACATTCGTGTGCCGCAGGCTTAAGTTTTGCATAATCGTATTTCTTAATAATTATAATTGTAACATAATGACAACAATAATATTGTAAATCATTTAAAAAAAATATATCGTCATTTATTTTATAGACAAAATTGGACAATTGTTACATTGTTTTTTTAAATAAATTATTGAGGTTATGAATCTGTTTTTTCACATAATATTGTACCATTAAAATTGCTTTAATGACATATAATGTGCGAGCATAGTTACAACATTTTGTTACTTAATAATCAGACATCAGAAAGTATTTGCTAAGAATAAAATATTTCATTTTTTAAATATTAGGTGTTGGAATTAATTCGTAGCGTTTTTAATGAAAGAATGTTATTTATTTCACATGAGCATTAAAAAATACATTAATGAAAGTACTTCCCATCACTTGTAAAACGCTACGAATTAATTCCAACACCTAATATTATTTATTATTTAGCATCTAGATTATCATGAATGACGAGTATATTGTGAAAACTGTTCTTCATGCCGGATCAGAAATTATTAATTTTATACCAGGAACAAAGGTATATGTATCTGTTATTTCTTTAAATTACACAAGATTTTTATTTATAAACTTTGTTACGAACAATTATTTATAATTGGTTTTATTTCAGGTTATATTTCACTTTAGAACTACAAAATGTGATTTTGATAAAACGTTGATAGATGACAGTAGGACAATGGGAAATCCAATGGAACTTATATTAGGAAAAAAATTTAAATTAGAAGTATGGGAAGCAATTATACAAAAAATGGCATTGAACGAAGTTGCCTGTTTCAAAGTGCATAAAAGCGTATGTTTGTAATACTTATTGTTACAATTTTATGTTTAGCATGTAGAATATACTTCTATGATGAATCCTGTTTTAGCTAGTGACTACATACCCTTTTGTCTCTAAGACATTAAGAGAGGCTGGCAAGTCTCAGTCACAGAAACGTAATCACCATTGCTGTGGCGTTACTCTTCAAAATGAAGGCATTGGTTATGCTGATTTGGACGAACTTATAAAATGTCCTCAGGATCTGGAATTTACATTAGGTAGCAATATAAAATATCAATATACATTGTATACTTTATTAAAACTTAATACAAAAGTTTTTATATACTTTCATGATTTTCTGTATTTATTTTTCTTCTTTTACAATATAAAAAATAGTTTTAAACAAACCAAAATGTTATAAAACAGCAGGACCGATAAAAATAACTCTTGTATTTTACAGAACTTATTAAAGTGGTATTACCAAATGAGTATGAGAAAGAGTCATGGCAAATGACAGAGAATGAGAAACTGGAAAGTATTCCGCATCTAAAAGAAAAGGGAAATGCTTTATTCAGAGAAAAAAAATATGACAATGCATCTGAAATATATGCAAAGGCTATTGGAATATTGGAACAACTCATGCTAGCGTGAGTTCTGCCTATGAAGAAATATGTTGAAATTAAAAGAGATTAGTCTATAAGACAAACAACATGGTTACATTATATAATATAAATAAATTGATTTTGATTTTAGCGAAAAACCAAATGATGAAGAATGGTTAACTTTGAATCAAATGAAGACACCATTGCTTTTAAATTATGCACAATGTAAACTGTTAAATAAAGAATATTATTCCGTTATTGAACATTGTACAACGGTTTTGGAAACAGAGCCAGGTATATACATCTTATAAATACAGGACAACATTAGGTTATCTAAAAGTAATATCGCTAAAATACTATTAAGTTTGCTTTTTATTTGCAGATAATATAAAGGCTCTTTATCGAAGAGGTAAAGCATACATTGGTGCATGGGATGAAAAAAATGCTATTAGAGATTTAAGGAAAGCTGCTGAAATCGATCCTTCTCTATACAATACTGTCGAAAAGGAGTTAAAGGCATTTGCGGCAGCTATTAAAGAGAAGGATAGTGTACAAAAAGAGAAATTATCAAAAATGTTTAAATGAATTTGTTAAAGTTTAATTATTTTAATTTAACAATACAATAATTAGAATTTTATTTTAAAC